ACCCTCGATCATACAATAGCAGTGTACACAATTATAACACAGAAAATTCCCACTGGGGATTTGAGACTGAAAATGACATGGCCTCTTAGGCAAATCTGACTTCCCTCACTAATCATGTAAGTTGGAAGACAATAAAATATCTAAGCAGTGTATGAAATGACCTTACAATGTGAGGGTCACTTAGAACATGTGCCAATCTGACTGACTTAACTATAGGAGACTGAGTGGGTTAATATTCATGTAATAAATATACAAATGTCAATTAGTTGATAGAAGAAAAAGAAAAAACATCTGTTCACATAAACATCTGCTTATAGTGATCAATGTGACCCTGACACACCTGATCGCTATAAGAGGTTTCCACTGTAAAACTATTCTGTGTCTCTCCCTCACCTGAGGCATCTGCCATCGACTGGGTGAATGTCTTTGGGGGACGAGGGTAGCAATAATGACCACCAACAGCAGTCTTCTGGAGGACAACGTTGTCCTTCAGGGTTTTGGTCCACTGGATGAAGCTCTTTACTCTGGGGTCACTCACATATGGCTGACCTTTGTGGTAGCCTGTTGTGGATGGAGATAAAATTGTGACCAATACTGTCACCACATAAGTACATCATCAGTACTGTTACAGCTGTGCTAACCTGTGATGAACGTCTGTGTCTCGCAGCTGCTTGTAAGGTAGGGCAACGAGCCTTCCACTCGACAAACTCTCATCTGAGTGCACACCAGGTAGGTCACTGTGGAAGACATGATGAAGGAATGAAGTGAAAATGTTCACAAGTGTGGCAGCCCAGCTATCACATAGGAGCCGGCACAGTTGACTTACTTGGGCATATACGACTGAAGACTTCCGGTTGGGAGGAGGAAAAAACCTCCAGGATGAAAGGAAGGTCAGTTGTTCCATCCACTGCGTGGATCCAGCGATACGTCCAGTATTTTTCTGGACCTAAAAGATGAACATGGTCGATTACCAATAACTAAATTAAAATATAAAAAGGAAATTCAACAGCTTTCTTTCAGTTTAAAAAAAATCCAGTTTAAAAGCATGAACATTTTTTTACCCTTGTTCCCTTTACTCTTGACTCTTTCAACACGACCGACAAATGTCACCAAACCAATGACGTCACACGCAGAATTGTTGGATAATTTTTCCAACTCTGACCTGTGAGAGACATAAAACTGTGATCAGTTAGTCTTATGTATTTGTACCAAATCAAAAAGGCATAGCGTGCACACCTCAAGTGCTAGATTAAGATAGGCAAATATTAAACTTTAAAATGATCAATGCCAATTCATTACCTAGTGGTGAACTGGTAGGAAACCTCAGGCAATCCCCACTGAGGCAGTACACTCTTTGGTGAGATCACAGTGATGACTGAAGTAGGTTTTCGAGGGTTCAGGCAGATTTCTTTAAAAAAAAAAAAAAAAAAAAAAACCATATGAAGATATTACATTTAAGCTACAGGTATACTGTGGTTCACCAGCCCTTTCAGAGAACCCAGAAATAAATCTGAACATACCTACAGAGTTAAAGGTCTTCATTTTGTGATGGTCCATTTGTGGGCGTGACCGGTTTGAATAACTCTGCTTCAAGGTGTAGTTTTGGATGTACAACACCGTGCCTACGGTAAGTCTCTGGTAAAACTCTGGACAAAGTTCGTTCCATAGCACAAGGGACATTGTCCCACTCTGGTCAGCGACTTCAAAGTAAGCCTGAAATATGACAAAACATGAGGTGAAAAACAAGCAGACTATACTCTGTCACAATATAACAGTACAATTATGTGATGAGATTCACATCTTGTGACTGAGGCTCCAAATTCTTGGGAAGTTCAAACTCACCTGGTAGGGGTAATCAATCTTGAGCCCAAACTTCCCATAATACCGTAATCTGGATTTGTGTATTATCTTCACTAGGAGAGGGAGAGGTGTCCATGTCTTTCTAAAGCATGACTCCAGACTACAAAGAAGAGTAATCTTTGACACTGTTGAAAAGAAGACATTGGGGACGACACATTGACAGAACATTTACAGACAACAGGTAACGATTCTGATCATCAATCACTAAAGTCATTTATCAAGCAATAAAGCCCGACAATCTCTAGTTTCAGCCCCACAAATTTGAGGATTTGCTGCCTTCCTGTATTTTACATAATGAATGCATTAGTTTTGGGATTTTGACTGTCGGTCACACAAAACAAGCACTTTGAAGACATCAACTTGTGCTCTGAGAAACTGTGATGGGCATGTTCCAAAGCCTTGTTAAGTTTTGTTGTTAAAGTGATGATCAGCAAGTTGATAATGAAAAAAAAGTTAATGAATCATGAATTATTTCCAGATTACTATATTTACTTATTTGTCTTGTGCATAAACATATTATGATAGCTTAGATTGTCATCCTAACCATACTGTTAGAATATTTCAGGTGTATTTCAGATTTTGATATTTGCCTTTATTGGTTTTGTCCAGCCCTACAGTTCAAGAGCCAAGTAGCAAAGTCCACCTCAGTGGTGTAAATGTAAGCCATGTTAATAGATCAGTGTGTGACAGAGGGATCATCAGAGCAACATCATCTCACCGTCCAGCACTGTGTCAGAGGAGGAAGACCCTGAGGTCCAGATGTCTCCCTCTGGGTCGTCGTTGTTCCACAGAGCCAGGTAATGTTTGCGGCTCACCTGAAGGGGAACATCACTCTGCAGCACCACACTCCTCTCCATGCCATGCTTGACCAGCATGGGCAGTGAACTGACGTCCTTTATACGGGGCAGGACAGCAGAGCTCTGTGCACCGCAGCGGAGCTTTTCAATGCAGATGTAACCGTGTCCCAGTCTCCTCTCGTTGTAAACGAAAGAGCACTGTGTGATGCTGATGTCAGTCCCAGTCCTCAGGATGTTTGAGTGCACCAGGTGATTCAAAGCGGGGTGAACAAAACATTTGGCTCTCCAGACTCCGTCAGTGATGGTCACATCGTAGCTGTAGCTGTCGACCTGCTGCCCCTCGGTTTGCTCAGATAAGTACCGCTGAAGTGCGATGACAGCGACCGCCTCCTCGGTGTTTACTTTCAGACACTGTGTGGAGGATAGCCGCTCCAGCGTCCTCTGGAGGAAAGACGTTTGAGAAAAACCTGTGACCATCGAAGAGGAAGACGAGTTATCCTCCATTATGACCAGGAAAGTTAACTAGTTATCTGTCAGATAGCCAGCATGTTGCTGCTGCTGTCACCAAATTATCTCATGTTAGCTTGTTGGCTAACGTTAACTAACTTCCTCCTGCCACTGTAGCAGCAGTGTCCGACACGCCAGAGAAAGTAGTAATATCTCAATGAATATACGAGTAGACTTATCTTATAACAGCTTGTTTACCATATAAGACTTAATATTTCTCGGTGTTGGATAATTCGCCAATAAAGTTAATGTTACACTGAACGTTACAAACAGCGCGCAGCGGGTGCCGTTTGATTGCGTCACTACTAGTTGCCGTGAGCAGTGGCGGCCTCAGCTGTGTGAGGGGCAGGGGCGGTAAAAATAAAAAAGGGCACCAGCTGCATGCAGTTGGGCAACAAATTGCACCATAGAGTAGAAATAAGACAACATTAGAAAATGTATATGTAAGTTGATCGTGGTGAGTCTCCATTATTGAGGTAGGCGTGAATATTGTGTCCGGCAACACCCAAAAACACTGCTGGGCGACCAACGATAAAAGAGACTCTGCAAAAACAGTCTGTGTAGGCACCTACCCAGACCCCAGGAATGCCTTTCAGCCTTGCAGCAGATTTTCCTCAGTGGCCACTCGCGGTATTGCATTGGGAAAAAAATCCCCTGTGGCCCAAAAAGCATTTTCTCCACAGCCCACCTACCAACTGTTGACAGGACACCTCGCACTGCAAACAAGATCAATAATGAATCTTTCTGTTCTGAATTTTTGAGCAATGGTGGTTTTGTAAAACTTTCCTCAAGCAAAGAAAAGCGATTTAAAAATCTGGGACATCATCACAATGTTAGGTCTATTACTGTGTCTCAAATCGCGTACTTCCATTAGTACACTTCCATGTAGTATACTATGTGCACTATGTACTCATTGGCGTAGTGCGCAAATTTCAACAGGGTAGTGTTGTCTCTAACCAAACAAGGCCGTTGTACACTTAACGGAAATGACGACTGCAGCTGTTAGCTTGTTAGCAAACTTGTTGGCTTGTTAGCAAACTTGTTGGTTGAATTCTGAATACTATTTATTAACTAAATGGATGTATGAATGCAATTATGTGTGGCAGTCAGTGGTGAAAGAGGCATTCAGTTCTTTCACTTAAGTTAAAGCAAATACTCCACTACAAATAAAAGTACTGCATTCAAAACCATGAAAACCTACTTGCTCATAAAACGATTCCTGATTTTTCTAATCTTTATGAGAATTAATTCTTTGGCCACTTGGGGGCAGCAAATTCAGACTGTATCAACAACAGTCAGATTATAAAGATCATATGATATACTGATATATAACAGGAGCTCTAAGAGTAAAGTCTTGGCAGTTGAAGGTAGCCCATATTGGCCAAAACCCTAACACCTAACGGTTGAGGAGGGGCCACAGTCTTTGGCTTTGCTTTGAGAAGAAAAAGTTGTATAGTTGGAAAAATCATCTGTATTAACATAAAAGGCCAACAAGCATCAATGTGATTATGTGTACAGTGCAATAATATATATTTACTAAGTTTCTATCTAAGCCTGAATTGTTGGTTTTCTTTTTCTTTTCTTTTTTTACATGTATCAGCTTTGAAGTTGTGAGAAGGCACTTTTTACAGTGCTACTGGCTTGCTGTTTTTTCACTACTTCCAGCATTCATGCTAAGCTAAGCTAAATTTGTCTGGAAGCTAACTCTGCTGAGAGTTGACATGGCTATTAATCTTCTCATCCAATGCCTCTGTGAGTGTACTGAATGCTCAGGTCATATTTCTGCAGCTGTAGTCACAGATCAGTGTGTGGACTAAAGAAACTTTTGAAAAAAAGTTTTTGAAATAAGAGCCAAACTTTATTGAAAAGCAAAACATCAGTACAAAAAAGAATCTTATATTTGGTTTTGTTATTCATTTGTGGTTATCAAAACATAATCCACTGAGCCCTCTGATATCAATCTCTAAACCTGACCAAACATACCTTAAAGCTGCCTTTAAATCCTTCACTTGCCCAAACAAAGAGCAGATACTCTACAACTTGCCCCAGTCACATATCTACATTGTATCTGCTCAGCATAAACTGCAGTGACAACTGGCTTGATAGGCAACTTCATGTAACGGCCAATCACCCTCACCTTCTATCTGGTATCACCTACTATTCGGACCGAATGCAATGATTGGCTGGAGTTTTCTTAGAACCATATGAGAATGCTGTAATTATGAGTTTTTATCTCTGGTGGAATTCACTTACATTTTAGTGAGCCATCAGCTTATAGGATGGATAGCATTTTAACCTAAACAAAGAAAAGTGTAAAATTTCCAGGAAGGTAAGTGTAGCTTTAACTGACTTAAGATTGTATCCGACTCAGAATTAAGTCATTTAAGTCAGATTTGGCTTTTCAACATGAATGTTCTACTTCTTGCTGTTTTTTCATGTAAAGTTTGAGAGATTGAACAGTGTCTGGCGGGCATTTAGGGTGACATCTATGCTCACGTAACATAGTAAACAAGCCAAGTTAGCCCTGCGAGCTAACGATTTGGATATGTGCAACAATATTTTTTTTGCTGACACTAGATATCAAACAAAAGCCAGAGACTGTATCGTATTAAGATGCTGTGAGCTGTAAATTTACCAGCTCTAAGCAGAAGGCAGAAGATAACATTATCCAACATAAATCTTACCAGAAAAGCTGATTAGACCCATTCATGTTAATGTCATATTTGGATGTTGCTCGAATGCCCAGAACACTGTAATGTAAACAGCCACAATAGCCTTTCAACCCTGGGTGCAAAAACGTTGTTGGCTATGGACACCTGGGTGCTTATTGCATCTGTCAAAAAAACTAACACTTACATATCAACCACATAAATCATGACTAATACTTCACTTATGTAATGTTATTTAACATGGCACATGTCAAAGAGTTTACTTTCTTCATCCCATATGAGGAAACTCAGTGAGTGCGTTTGTCAATCAGTTGGCTGGATTCAGTTTCTCAGAGACCTCAGGGGCGTTGTCAGGAGCTGTAAGGTCAGAAACAAACAGTTTGTGTGAAACTGCATAGAGTCCACTCACAGTCCTAAAAAGTTCATCTGCACAATATTTGAACCACTTATCAATCTACAGTGTTAAGTCTGTAAGATTTACTTACGAGATGGAGGGCCTTTGGCTGAAATCAAAACAGACCATCATCATTATTTCAGTCACTGTTGTAGATGCCATCTTTCATCATCTCATCCCTAGTTAATATGATCCCCGCTTCTACTCACTCAGACAGAAAAATCAAGTCATTCTACCCTTCTGTTTAGTCCTTACTACTTTTCCTATCCCTTCTCTCCTACATCATAGTGATATATTATCATGACTCACAGGCTCTGAGCCTTACAGTGCTTACTGTAGGTTGCTTCAAATTGTGGGGTGCAGGGAACTGATGCTCATTTCAAATGAATATAATCTGAATAAAAACATCAATTCAAAGACTACAATCAAAGCATTAAAAAAGTCAATTGAGCAGGTGATCATTTCATTTT